GACAAAGAGGTGAAGTAGCCACTGAAAGGCAGCAGCAGCAGAGGTTAAGCATTGGCAGAGCTGACTGCTGGAAGAAATTGCAGCTCTGTGCTTGGCCAAAATCAAGGCGGCCACTGAAGAGTACCCAAAAAGTGTTCTTGATGTTCAGAGCTGTTTCCAAGCTGAAGCTCACAACTGCAGGTTGAAGTTGCTCTTCTGACCTGATTATTACCAGGAAGGCCAGAGAAGGGCAACAAGGCTTGTGAGAGGTCTGGAAAACATGCCCTATGAAGAGCGGCTGAGGGAACTGGGTTTGTTTAGTCTGGAGAAGAGGAGGCTGAGAGGAGACCTTATTGCCCTCTACAACTACCTAAAAGGAGGCTGTAGTGAGGCTGGTGCTGGTCTCTTCTCTCTAATTACTAATGACAGGACAAGGTGAAATGGCATCAGGGTAAGTTTAGATTGGATATTCGGGGGAAGTTCTTTACTGAACGAGTGGTGAGGCACGGGAACAGGCTGCCCAGGGAGGTGGTTGAGTCTGGTTTTTTAAACACCCAGGAGGTGTTTAAAAAAAAAGCAGATCTAGCACTTGAGGCTATGGTGTAGTGGTTAGGTATGCTGGGATGAAGGTTGGACTAGATGATCTTCAGAGGTCCCTTCCAACCCCGAACATTCTGTGATTCTGTGATTCTGTCATGCCAAAACCTCTCATGTTCCCACCCAAAGGATAACTCATCCAATGTCCTGCCAGGAAAATGGGGACATTTTAATGTCTGTGGCTATAAATTTTCTGCCACTGACTTCTACAAGGATGGCACCATGCTACCAAAAGCCATGTCACTGGGACTCACTCTGGGACAGGGAATCCTGTAGGGTCTAAAATGATGAGAATGCTTCAAGACGTCAGCCCGACAATCTCTTGTGAACCGATGATTCATTTCCCAGCAACAGTATTTTGCTACATATTCATATAGGTCCACAGGAGGTTATTCTGGAGATGCCTACATTGAGCAGTGAGAGATCTAGGAAGTTCAGAAGTGATTATGGACTTTTCAAACTGACAACCTAATCCTCTTCAAACAACTCCTAACTGCGACTACAAATACACCTTAACCATGCCACAAGCCACATTTCTCAAATCCAGGTAGCTATGTGGTGCTTTTCTGTCAGTAAGTTATGCAGGAGAGTAAAAACTAATCAGCACTTAGGAGAAGTTGTCTCACTGACATTTGCACAATTTCTCCATAAGCTGCCAATGAACATCCATCACGCTGGCAGTACGCTGTCTGCTGAAGTTTACATAAGCTGCTGTCTGGGAACATTCATTTAAAACACAATCATGTGTACTTACAAAAACTGAGACATTTCTCTGAGCTGTTATTTACTTGTTTTCTCTCTCTGGGAAGCAAGGGGAGGGTTAACAACCTCCCTGAAAAGATCTCTGCTAGTACAGGCGGGAGCGGAGCACTCGGGACTCAGACCTTAACCTCCACAACTGAAATCAAAACTCGGCTGGTGTGTGGGAGAAAAAAAGCAAGCTGCTAAGTGACCCCAAGAGTCTCCGCCAGATCTGTCTGGAGAAAACTGAGAGACTGCCTGAGACCTGCAGCATCCTACACACCTCCCCTCCAGCCACCGCAACTGCCCGTCACCTCCCATTTGCCTCTGAGAGGGATTGGAGGAGACCCGAGAGACCAGATTCGAGGCCCAGAAGAAGTGGAAAATGAGATGGGGAAGAGATGAAGGGATCCCAGTAAAAGCCACCAGATTGCTCCTTTCTCCTGCATACTGCTCCACAGGAGTCAAAATCCTGAACACGGGGAAGCAATCTATATATCAGACATGTTTGAGTCAGACCTTGATTCACATTAGGAAGACCATGCCAACATTTTCGGGGGGCGGTGGGGCTCCAGGTGGAACCACAAAGTTTGGGTTAGGTCCCAGACAAAGCAAGGGGATGAGCCAGGCTCAAAACCCACAAAGATCTCTGAAGACACAAAACAGAGCTATGAAGATGCTACATGGGGTTACTAAACTACCTGTCAGGGACAAAAGGTTTTACAAAAGGATACAGGAAAAACTACTAACTGGTTTAAATTTACAATTGAATTTCAGTTCAGCATTTCATCTACATGTTAATGACTTAGGGGCACATGCATAAACCTTTGCACAGCTAAAATAGATGGTCTGTTGTCATGTTTATATTTTGCACTTACGATTGCTTTGAGTCAAAAAAAATCAGAAGTGTAAGATAGTTCACTAGAAGAAAGCTAAATATTCAAGAAATTGACTTTTAAGACTACTCTTTTACCCTGAGATAGATACAGTTACTATCAGTGGTAAGAAAAATGGATTAAATCACATTGGGATTTCCCATCCCAAACCTAACAGAAGTCTAGAAACAAGGCAGGAAAATTCTTCCAAATGGAAACCTCTCACAGATTTTGAAATCCTAGAGAAAAGAGATTCCTAGAGAAAAAAGTAATAAACCTAATCCAAAAGATCAGGTAGTTGAAATTTCTACAATGTGAGTCAGTTCTGGCACACATACACACACTTGCAAAAGACTTTTTAAACGCAGGCTAATTTCAGCTGTAACTAAGCAGTGACGAGCACTTCTACGGATGACAATTTGGAACCCATAGTAGCAAAAGTCAATCAAGTGAGTGAAAGGGTTACAAGCCCACATAAAACAGCGTGCCCATTTCCACAGAAAGCAGGTGGGTTTTGAGTCAGAGTGACTGGAGACAGCCTCTCCTCTTTGACTTCAGCATGTGTGGAGTGGACTTAAAGTTTGCAGACCTTGTTAATTCAACAGGACGAAGAAAGAGCAGAGGTCAGAGCCTGTAAGACCTGTGAACTGCTTAGAATTTCATCTGTGGAGGTAGCAGGTAAAAATCACAGAATGGTCAGAGTTGGAAGCGATCTCCAGAGATCACACCCAGTCCAACCATCCCGCCTGCTCTGTTAAAGCAAACAGCAAAATGCTGGGGTGCTTCAAAGAACTCAAGATTTCACTTCATAGCAGCAGCTTCCTAAAGCTTGAAGTTCTGTCTTTCCTAAAGTCTTAGTTCACTAGTGCTCCTTTTTGCCCCTCAGAATTCCCCTAGAGTTGCACTGTAATCTTCCATTCACAGAGTCTCTTCCAATACTAAGAGGAAAAAAAGCATTTCACTCTCTCATAGAATCATAGAACGGTTTGGGTTGGAAGGGACCTTAATGACCATCCAGTTCCAAGGCCCTGGACACCTCCCACAAGACCAGGTTGCTCAAGCCCTACTCCAGAAAGCACTGAGCTCTCAGCAAAACACAGGTTGAGGTCAAAAGCTTGACGGTCAACTAAGTTGAGTCTGAAGGATCTCGCATTAGTCGTGGACTGAACATGACCGTGTGTTAGAGCGGCATATCACCACCCACTTTGTGTTTCTCAGAGGATACCGGAACTTCACTTCCCACACAATACTCCACCATTCTTGAACACAGCAAGCAATGAAGCAGATTGCTCTAACTCTCTCTAACAGTCTTTTTCCCCAAAATTCTGTTTTTCCTACGTGTTATCAGGGGGCAATTGTTTCTTCCAGGAAAAGTGATTAGTACTTTAGTACTTCACATGCAAAAGATACTTTAATGGGAAGATCCATCTCTTTATTCTCCCACAGAAATCTCTCCAAAATCAGTCCTTATAAAACTTGCTCGTTCCTAAAATCTCTCCAGAAAGAGTCCTTGTAACTCTCACTTAAGAACCTGACCGTGTGTCAGAATTACACCTAGGTGGGACACTTCATCCTCTGACAACACAGCAGTCAAAATGGGATCCCTGAAGCACGACTGTTGGAAAAAGATGGGCTAGAAACTGCTATTTAAGCAGTTCACAAGATCAGCATCTTCACACTCTTCAGCAAAACAGAACAGGTAGATCAGGATGGCCCTCAAGGAGATGTTCCATGTATATTTGCTTTGCCTTGTGTCTATGACATTAAACTGTCTTGCTCATATTGAGTGATTGCAGTTACAGATGGAGACAAAAAGATGAACATAAACTGCACATGATAAAAGAAAGGAACTAAATCCCACCTTCACTGAAAATAACAGTATCTAGGAAAAAGAAAATTGTGATCTGTTACCGAGAACTACTTTCACTGTCAGAAAAGAAAACAAATTGGCAAGCGTGTAACGAGATCGGGCATACAGCAGCCATGAAGAGTTATAAGCTGTCATTAATTACAGAAGTATGAATCTTAAAGCCATGTGACTTGGGAGAACAAACTCATGTGTACCTATTGCTTTTACAGACCCTATTCTTCATTGTGAAGTGCTGATTTCCTCAGCAGAATCGAAAACATCCAACCACGCTCTTTAGAACAAGAGATGCAGGTTGTGTAAAGGGTAATGATTTCTGAAAATTTCGCCTTATTTTTAAGACATATTCCAAACGGATTCCTTTACAACATCCCTAACAGGAATCCAACCATTACAATTAAACCGCATACTTCTCATTACTTGAGATGGTCATCTGCCTAGGAATTCATCTCCTCCCATTCCAGACAGCCTTATCACAGCTGGAAATACTAAATAAAGCTTGCCATCTACTCACATTCTCATGCACTCATCAGCAACAACTCCCAGTACCATGCCATCAATTTTGGCCATCTGAACTGGAAAAGGGGTTCAAAGAGCACTCATTATTGGCTTTTTACAGTCACCATTGGTAGTCCAGCCTGATTCAGGCTATTGAGCAAAGGAGGAGGTTGCCCAGAGCAGCAGGCTCAGAGGGCTGGCATTTCACCGACCACTGGCTCTCCTCAGTGAGTGCACGTAAGGGGGAGGTGGCAGCTATTACTGTAGCTGGACCTGCATCACAGCTAAAAAGGACTTCAGCTTTATCATCAATTAATAGTGATAAGCAAATATTGAGCACCTTTGAGAGTCCCCAACAGAAATATAATTCCTAAAACATACCAATATTAAATATTAGTATGAAGAATATGAAGAATGTTAATATGAAGAAAAAAGTTACATACCTTAAATTCCTCCAAGATTTTGTAATTTTTCCCATGATATTCACAAAAGTTTTTCACTTCTTTGCACTCTGGACAGCATCCATTGTGTTCCACTTTTGTACACTTTGGGTGGATTTTAGGGCATTCCGGTTGATCACAAACAGGTCCATCCTCAGTACAGACACAGGGACAGTTGGAATGTCCCGGAAAAAAGCGTTCTCCCAGTTTGTACACAAAGCCACTGTCATCCACACAGCCCTTCCCTCGGTAGTCATCAAAGATCAGATTGTCATTACTAGAAGCCTGGTCTCCTTCATCAGCTGGATAGTCTTCATGACTGATGGCAGCTGGAGTGACCAAAGCAGGGATTACAAACAGAAGTATCCAGGCTTCATGAATATGAAGAGCCATTCCCCTCCTCAGCTTCTCCATGAGATCTCAATGCCAGAGACAAACAGCTGCTTCCATAGGGAGACCAGTGTTGTAGTCTGAAACAAATATTTTTAAGTGAGAAGAAATTCAAAATACTAAGGAATATTGACTTACAAAGGCTATAGTTTCAACCAGCACCCAAAAATAAATCAGTGCTTTTGAACTGCACAACTATCACTGTTTCATTTGAATTAAGCCTCTTCCCAATCCTGTTGAAAAGAATAAAGATAGGAAATACATAAATTAGACACACACGCCTCTAAGCATATGCCCGCAAAATCTCTCTGTAGAAATGGTGGCTCACAGAATAATTTTTACTTCCCTCATGTGTGCAGTTGAGTTTTCTGACGCTTCAGAAATTAAACTAGCTGCCTGAAATCACATGGTGAGGGGCAGGTCAGCAGGATTTGAACCCAAGTTTAAGCATGGTCTTAACCTCTTGCTGTGGCCACTGTCCCTCCGTGCTACGTATGCTGCACAGCCCACTTCACTAAACTGAGGTGGAAAACCTGAGTCAAAAAATGATATAAACAGAATCTGCAGGCAGATCTGCTTCCAGTATGAAAGATAGTGGTGGGTTATATTTGGTCTGTGAGAGGTGAAATACTACAGAATTCTATATGCAGTATTTCTGAAGAGGGACTATCTGGACTACCAACACATCCCAGCCCATGGCAGGTATCTATAATCCCAACAGAAGCAAAGATGTAATTCACCTTCTCCATTATTCAGCATTTCAGTAATTCCCAGAAAGAAAGGCAGAGAGCAGGACTTTAACTGCCTGCATAACGCATGCTGCCGCTGAAGCGTCTCTATCTGATTAAGCTGGAGCCTTTCTAAAACTTTGGGAGCGACACAGCATGGCCCGACCTTTGGAGAGCTCTGCTGAAGCCATCGAGCGGAGGACTGACCCAGCGACGGAGAGATGCTCTGCGCTCTCTCCAGAGAGAGACAGCTCCAGAAGGCTCTGTGGGTGCACACCAGCTGCCGGCCATGCCACATCACGGCCACCAACACACCGTCCTGCCCGCGCACCAGCCAACAGCCACCGCCGCACCAGCAGCAAAACAGTTTCTGACTTCTCTTAAGGGAATCGGGCAAAGTATTAGAAGAAACTTTTAAATACAGTGAAGTATTAGCTCTGCACGGATGCAGCAACGATGGAGGTAGGTGCTGGCACACACCAGAAATGGACTGTTCGGAGGTGTGTGAGTTCCTTCTCTTCCTCCATTCCCACAGCATGCACACACCGATACACACAGCACACAGAGACACGCATTAACCTACACACACACAGGCAAACACCTACTCCCTCTCCACTCCTTAGCGAGACGGTTTTTATCTGTCAGGAATTTTGGTGGACTGCAGACATTCAGCAATTAATTCTCCTCTAATTGAAGCCAAAAAGCAGCAGCAGCAGAAAGCTTTAGCCCTAGAGAAGCAGCTAACAGATCCTGTTGACAAAGCAGTTTTTCCAAAGCCACAACAGAGGGAGACACCGGATATTACACAAGCTTTATCAAATTCAAAAAGATACCTTCTTAATTGAAGTACTAGCTCTGTTTCCATCACATGGACTATACACTGTGTTACTACTATCAGCAGTTTGCAAATTGTTGTTTGCAAATCAAGTGATTCACGCAAATACAGCTGCTTTACATACATCTAGAGCAGAGAATCTCACCCACCTAAATGCTACAGGTAGGCTGCAACATTGCAGATGGGTGGGCATTTAGGGGGGAAAAAAAAGGCAGAAGCAAATGAAGTAACTCACATCTGAGGAAATGTAAAGCAATTGAAAGAATGTGCTGAAGTTTGACAAGGAAGCTCTCCAAATTATATTAAAAAAAAAGAAAAAGTTCTCCAAAGATCATAAATAAGACCATTATATTTTGCTACAGCATCTGAGCTGTCCCACAGCAACTCACAAGCGCTCAGCTCAGCGGCGATCGTGGAAATCCGACAGACTGCAGACGTCTTGCACGGACAGATTTCAACAAGTAAACAAATGCTGCTGAGCTCAGAATTAGTTTGCAGCTGAACTTTCTCATCATTTCTCATCACGAGAGGGGCCAGGATCGCAGGTAAGTCGCCGAGAGAAACCTTTCCATCCGCCTTCCCTCACCCCCAGGGAGTAATTCCCACTTACCTAATCAGGCTCGATCGGAAAGCTGAGAGGGGTCACAGGCCAACATGGACTAAAAGGTTAGAAACAGATTAGTGAAAGCAGTTCCTCCTAATCACATTTTCAGCGTTGACTCACGGGCAATCCCTTTTCCTCCACCTCCCATCGCAAAACACGGGAAAGCGGCAGCCCGGCAACCACAACATAAGAATTAAGCTTGAACCCGGCGCTCAGGCTTCAAAGCGAGCAGCGGCGAGGCGGTCCAGAGGCAGGGACGCCGCGGCGAAAGCCCGATGCCAGCAGCACAGTCATCGCGCCCAACTTGGGCTGGATTTCCTCAGCTCGCCAGGTTGGGGAGGGGGTGGGAGAGAGGAAAAAAAAGAAACCCCACATATAGAGAGAGATAT